TCAAATTGTTTTTCATTGATATTGAAATAACCTTATCACTTATGCCAGCTGAGGAAGAAATTGAAGAAAATGTTCAATGTTACCCCATATTCCAATTAAGATGTTGTTGCTGCTTTTGAAACTGTTCATAAATTTTTTGAACAAGATAACAATGGATTATAATGAACTCAAAGTTTTTCATGCATTTAAAGAAAAAAATTAATTTGTATAATTCTAAAAGTTTAAACCAAGGAAAATTAACTTCTTATTTACCAAACAACAATAGCGCCATATCACATTTGACTTCTTTTAATATTTATTAATATTACAGTCAACCCCCTCTAAGTGCACCTCCCTCGGGAATGAGTGATAGCGTGCACTTAGAGGGGGTGTGCACTTAAAGAAACAAAGCATTTCATTGGTTACACGTGATACTAATAAAGAATAAAATTTTTTTTAATATTAATGTATATTATCAATTACAACGTTACATTATTGTCACCAAAAAATAAAAATTTATACAATTATTGATTAAGATAAGATTCCATTGTACTTTGCCTCATTGTAGTTATTAAATAAAATCTTGATTCATGTCTTATTTATAATAATTTTGACTACATAAGCTTCTCTGCCTGCTTTCTTTGTTCTTTGTTCTAATAACAATAACCTTTGTATCTATTTAAAAAAAAGAATTCTTTAGTTTCTTATCACTTAATAAAGATGAACAATTCTTTGCCCGCCTGTTACAAAATAATAATTATTTATCTCTTACTGATAATAAATTTAATTCTTTATTCTTTATCATTATTGACTAGGTATAAAATTTAATTCTTTACCATCTCTTACAAAAATCAATTATTTATCCTTTTTTTTTTTTTGTTAACACAACAAAAGGAAACGGAAAATTATTTAAATTTATAACGTCACACGATTTTTATTGGACAACTATCACGTGAAAATCACGGGCGTGCACTTCTCTCTAATTACCAAACTTGGGAATGAGTGAGAACGTGCACTTAGAGGGAGTTGACTGTATTGTTGTACAATTTTATTATCATTAATAATTAAAAAAAAAGTTATTTTTAAAAGTATCATGTGATACCATCAACTACCTTGATTACCGAATACCTTGTTATAACGGATCATTGGGTATGCTCATTATAACAAGGTTTGACTGTATTACAATTTTGTTACACGAATTTCTGCACAATAGATTATTGGCTACCTTTAACGTAACACGCGCCCGCACTCACTGGTATTAATCATAATAATAATAATAACTTACAATTATTATATCGAAATTTTAAAAAATTTTTATAGGTGTGACACATCATTAACGTAGAAAGAAAATCCCATAATTTTTTAAAATTCGCAGTTTTGATATAAATATTTGCCATGGTTGTAACTATTGATCCTTATCCTCTCAAGCCTTTTGGCTAAGATCAAGTGTAGTATCTGTTCTTTTCAGCTTAATATCTGAAATGATCCACACTGTGGATCTATGATATTAAACTAATTTTTTAAATTGGGGGGGAAGTCCCTAGCTTGCTACACTTCTCTCCAGGGTGTCCCTAGTATTGCACTACCTCTAGGGATGCCCACCTTTTTTTATTAAAGCGGGTTGGGTTGTGGAATAAATAAATAAAAAATTTCTCTTCCGAAATTGCAAAAATTCATTTGAAATTTTTTTTTTGTGGTTTAAATTCACGCAATTTTCGATTTGATAAAAACAATAATTCGTTTATTATTTAAGAAAGAAAATGACGGACTAGTATACTTGTTAAAGAATATCATGGAATATAATACGATTTTATTTTTAGTTTCCTATTTGTGCAACAGTTTCAAAAGCATTGACGTTAACATATAATAGAACGTCGACATTAAAAAATTTTTTTAAATAAATAATTGAAAGTTGACATTGATATTTGATTCGTGGTCCGCCGAATCTCACTAATAAGAACCGGGCGATCGTCATATATAAATTTAATATTAATAAAAAAAAGGGGCAATACTTAAATCCACTTGTAACAAGAAATCCGCTGACGAGGTCTGACTGTAATAATAATCATATATATATAAAAATTAATAGTAAACGATGATTAACCGGTTTTTCCGATTATAATTCATTCTTAAAAATCCCGTTGAAAATTTTCAATTTAATAATAATAATAATACTATTTTTACTTATTGTTATTCACTTTTTATAACGCTAATCTATTTGTTGTCCAAATGAAACCTTTTGAAACCTTAATTACTTATTATTTTTATATTAATAATGAAACTAACGATGTTAATATTAATTGTAGTAAATATGTGTTGATATTGTTATTGACTCGTGTGTGCTCGTTCTAACATATGTACACATTACAGATCGTCCGTTTTTTTTTTTAAAGTTTTTCTATATCCAGTTTAAGATGAATTAAGAGTATCGTTATTCTTACATGCATGTAAAGCTTGTATGATTTTTTCTGTAATAATTAAAACGACGAGAATGTTTTTTTATTTTCAATACAACAGAATTAAAATTAAATTGGTGCAACAGAAATTGTTTAAAACACTGTATATTTTCGAAGAATGATAATCAAAAAAAAATCAAAAAAATCATTAAAAGGATTTGGCTGTTTCACGGAAGTAAAAGCGTGTATAGAAATATTCAACATTCAATGATGAATGCCGAATAGCCAAGAACTCATTTTTTAAAAAAGTAATTTTTGGGGAAGGTTAAATTTCAAGGTATTTGTTATCGGAAATGTTTTCTGAATGTCTGGATTTTGATTCATGAGAATGATCGTCGCCTTTAAAAAAAAGTTGAAAACTAACCGGAGTTGACTATGTAACTATCGCCCGTTAGGTTGGATGATCTGCCTTTTGTTTAAACTAAATAAAACCAAGGCTCAAAATTATTCGGACCCTCCTTATGTGCAACGTTACTTAATTTGGTATGAATTTAAAATTGCCTTTAATTAATTTCCTTATTTCCTTCCAAAGGTAAGTTTTATCAATTAATATTAATAATAATAATATATTTTATTACTTAAAAAAGATATACGCTATCAATGTATATTTTTCAACAAAATAAATATTTAAATAATTAATTGTTAAATATTAATACTTTACTTTTCATAAAAAATTATTTTCATTAAGAAACTTTTTTTAGATAAATTGGGAAAGCTATATTCACACAACACGCATGTCATACATATATATGTTATACATTATACATGTATTTTTTTATTTAAAGATATTTATCTGGTAAATAAAATCATATAAAAAAAACCAAATATAAAAAAGAAAAGATTAAGATAAAACAAATGGTTGATTAATTTATATAGAAATGAAACAGTATCAATGTTGATGTCAATTTATTTACTTCATTTCATATTAAGAGCAACAATTATACCCAATTTAATTGCAATTGTGATTTTGGAATAAATGCACAAGAATCCTGGTGATGCTACAACTACACCCACAACACCTGTAAATACACAACCACCACCTAAAGTAACTTAACCTGTACCTCCTACTATAACACCAAAAGATACTACAACTCCAAAAACTTCAAACACACACCACACCAAAAAGTCAGCCAGTGATTCAAATTTCACAAGAAAATCAATAACCTACACTAACACAAAAATTCACAGTATTTAGTATAAGTAACTCAATAATCTTCAACAGCATCACTGTCATTATCCAGAAAACCACTAATAACTATAACTTTAACTGCCACATTGAATCAAGCAGAATCATCTCAAAATGTTTAATCAAACCACTACACAAGATCCAAATCCAAAATACTAATAGCACACCAAGTGATATTGCTTCTGAGAATGCTAATGCTAATGCTAATAATGATGATAGTAGTTTGACAACTAAAACTGCAGTAAGATCTATTCCTATAATTATTATGGTATATGCTATTATAGGTATATGGGAATATAAAAAATCAAATAACAATTTATTGATAAATGGAGATGAGGTTGTGTTAAGGGATAGCCAAGGTGATGGTATAATGGGTGATCCATTCAAAAATACACTGTATCAATATCATGTGGAGCATGCCACAACAAAACCAGACAGAATGAACATTTATGTCACAACGATCAAAATTGTTTAACACTACAATTTTACTACAATATAACATGATATTAAATGAATGCTTTTGTTTCTTCCCACTTATTACTTAACTGATTGATACACAGGATTATCACCATGTAAAAGAAAAAACATTGTTTACAAATGTTATACATTCAAGTCCTGCATTATGTTTGAGCATCATGAGTTCAGGCAAAGAAAAAAGATCAACCTACAAATCTTTCAATAATCATTGCTAAATGCAAATTTTATTCTGTTAAAAAAGCAAATAATAAACAATTTAATGGTGAACTTTTTTGTGTAGGTTGTTGATTTGGCTATTGTTTTTTTTGAATTTAGAAAAAACCAACCCTATGACATAAATCAAAAACTTGATGATGAAATAATCAATAAGAAATTGAAATCAATGGAAGGATTTCAAGCAATTATTTGAAAAAAGTTGAGCAAGACTTGGCCTTTTTGTTCAAAATGGTAATGAAATTCATAAATTACATGGAGAAAGAAAGGATGTTCATTTTGTTGGGGTTTGTTCACCCAATTCAAGGATTGACAATTTCAAATGATGAAGTTCAATATTTTAACAGGACAGATTGGTGTTAAGGCCCAGAATTTTGTACCCTATTTTTAATTAGTAAATTGAGCCAGTTAGAAAACCTAGTGCTAGGGATTGACAGTCTCGAGGTTTGCCCTATATCTTGATCCTTGTGTTAGCTAGTTTTGTTATAGCATATCCATATAAGTTGAGCATTATAATCATCATCATCACACACACACATTTATTATTTAAACATTTTTTTAATTCACTTCATTACAAACTTTTTTTAATAATTGAGTGGAAGGGGAGATAGAATAATATATATATTTAATATTTAATATAAATGTTTGCTAATATAAATGTTATTATTATATATTTTATTGACTGAAATTTAATTTCTGTGAGTTAATTTAACCTTCAATTCAACACATTGACTACCAGCAAAAGGTTGTATGCGCATAGGTTTATCACTTACCAATTCAAATTTATATTTTTTGTATAATAAAGCAACCATTAATTTAACTTGATTCATTGCCAGATGTCTTCCTGGGCATATACGTAATCCACCACCAAAATGTAAAAATGTATTTTTAATAAAAGAATCTTCATCAATTTCATTATTATTGTCATGATTTTTATTTTTTAAGAATCTTGAAGGATCAAATTTAGTTGGCTCATTCCAATAATTTGGATTCATGTGTAAACTTTGAACATTTAT